TTTATTGTTTCACATTCTAGTTCTGTGTGGAAAAAACCAAATTTTTAATGTATCTTCAATACTTACAAAAGAAACAGGTATGCCATCCAATGTAATAGAGCTAACGGGATAGCTAAATTTCCAATATCACCAGTTATATATGTGTGTATATATAATATACATAAGTTTCTATATATACTTTCATCATATATATAAATTTCCAAGTCTCATTTTACCACTACTATACTATATAAATTTCCAACTCAATATAATATTACATTATTTACTATGTATATTCTCTTTTTCTTGGGTAATTCTTTTTGATCTTTCAAAAATTATTTCATAAAAGATTTGTTATAAAAACAAATGTTATTTTGTTATACATTCTGTGCGAAGATAGTAAAATTAAAGTTTATGTTTAAGAAACTTTATCTTCCCTATTAGCTTGTAAAGTTGTGTTTTCAAAAAGTATGCTACATGAAAAAAAATGTGGCTTCATAAATAATGACTGTCCATTTAAGAAATTCTGGGTTCATGCATGGCATTCCATTGAATGGGCCCTGCACGGGGACCAAAGACATTCTAGGCTGAGGCTCCGTGATACCACAAGGTGTCAATATTTAAGAGAATATGACACTTGAAACTCACAATGTGAACAAAATGAAACTTTTGTAATATCGAGGATCACTCCATTGACCTTCCTAGAAAAAGGATCTCTAATTTCACTAACAAAACATGAAGAAGGTTAAGAAATATCCAAAACAGCTGGCTGCTTACATAAACAGAACAGTTGGACAAGGTGAAAAGCCCAGATTAAACCACATAAGGCAGTCTATTTCAGAAAGTTAAACATCGCTTTCTAAATTCTTGTTACAGAAAAAACAGTCCCCTAGAAGTGGGGATTGTGCCATGGCAAATAATAAATGAAGTGACTTGCGTAGGCTACCTGCCTGAAAAACTAAGCCATGACAGTTGAGTCACACATATTTGGTTAATCCCAGTGATTCTGGTTCTTCCCAAACAGAAAACCCATCATCAAAATATACTGTTTTTTCTTTTCTAAGGTTTCTCAGGACCATGAAACAATGGCCAAAATTTTGTTCAGCAGGAAAACTTTTGATTTTTTTCGAAAAGGCTCATTGAATGTAGTTTTAACTTTCTGGAGAAAGAAAAGTATAAGTGAAGAGCTTGGAGTTGTAGTGGATTGCCTTCCTGGGCTTACCAACAGTTTACAGAAGAAAGCCAGTACATTTGTTATTTCTAGTTAAGTCACTGCTTTAAAGCAAATTTGAAAAGTATGTAATAGTACATTAAACTGGCTTCAGTGGCCAGGTGCGGTGGCTCACGCCAGTAATCCCAGTGCTTTGGGAAGCCCCGAGGCAGTTGGATCACCTGGAGGTAGGAGTGCGAGGACCAGCCTGGCCAACATGGCGAAACTGTCTCTACTAAATCAGCTGGGCATCGGTGGCGCATGCCTGTAATCCCAGCTACTCGGGTGGTTGAGGCACGTGAATCACTTGAATCTGGGAGGCGGAGGCTGCTGTGAGCCGAGATCGCCGCACTGGCACGCCGGCTCTGGGGGACAGAGTGAGACTCTGTCTTGGGAAAATAAAGTAAAATAAAATAAAATAAACTAGCTTCAAGCAGTCATAAAAAGGTGGTGGGTCAGAACTTATCATCCGAACAGAATTATAAATGACAGAAATGTTCTGATTTTAAAATCAATTAAGTGGACTTGTAGGAAATCCATTAGGAAAATCATCTTACTTTGGTTCCAGGATATATGTATATGATGAGAGCCATAAATAAGAATACGGATACAGATGCTTATTTATTACAGGTCACATTGAGAGATTTCATCTACTAAAGAGCATCTGGTTATTCAAAAGTAGTTGGACTATATGTTTACAAAAAAGGTTACTGTTGAGAACTGTGAATTGTAGAAGAATTGTCAAAACCATTTTTTCTTTAAAAGGACACATATTAAACCTCTAATGAGAACTTAACAGTCTACTTCACATTGAAGTGGAAAAATAAGTAAAGGAACAGCTTCAACTTCAATGAGATAAGTGCACTGTGGACTGTCTGCTTTTGGACATGTGGTATATTGGTAACACTGTTTTAGAACTATACGGTCTTAATGTCGTCCTGCATAAGAATATGATTTATACTATGTGAAAAAATGAGAAAGACATTATTATGGTGAGCAGGTGGATCACTGAGGTCAGGAGTTTCGAAGACCAGTCTGGCCAACATGATGAAACCCTGTCTCTACTAAAAATACAAAATTGCAGGCATGTATGTGGACATATCCGTGGTCCCTACTTGGGAGGCTGAAGCAGGAGAATTGCTTTAACCCAGGGAGACAGAGGTTGAGTGAGCTGGAATCATGCCATTGCATCCAGGCTGGGTGACAGATGAGAGAAAAAAAAAAACACAAACATACACACACACAGCACACACACACACCACCAGAGTTTATTCATATTTTACTGACATTTTCAGTGATTAACTATACCCAAACTGGTTAGGTTTTTTGCTTTCTCTGTTTACCAATAGTGTTTTCCCCTTCTGTGACTCATGACCTATATAGAATATGATAGCATTTTTATAGCAGGCTGGGACGGAAAGGATGAGATGGACCAAGGGTCAAGAAAGTCATCCTGGAAGGTGGGAGAGGATTTGTATGTTGGTCATATTGGTTTGTTTACAACCTATTTGCAGCACAGTGAGCTTAAAGCAAATTCATGGTTAAAGGCAACTTTATGCATTTATCACCGGGCATCGCACAAAAAAATCTCACAACATATAATATCTATAAAATTTATGGTTGGGCATAAGTGGCTCATGCCTGTAACCCCAGCACTTTGGGAGGCTGAGGCGGGCGGATCACCTGAAGTCAGGAGTTTGAGACCAGCCTTGGTCAACATATAGTGTAACCCTGTCTCTTACTAAAAAGATGATAATATTTGTCCTGGGAGAGCGGTGGTAGGTGTATAGGCTATAAGGGTTCCCATGACTCTCCGATTCTAACCTGGGAAATTGAGGGTGAGGAGACTCGCTTGAACCCAGGGAGCGTAGGGTTGGATGGCACGAAGGATTGAGACACTCTACTTCCGCAGCTGTAGGCGACAAAGTGACACTACTGTCTGCTCAAACTAAACAAAACATACAATAATAAAATTTTAATACGTCGCACTTACTCAAGCATAATGAATGTGCTTACAGATAACTCAAAATATAGTTGTAAACACTCATAGGGATAAGACACATCTTAGATCTCACAGTTATTAAAATTATGATATACTCAAATAACGTGAGTCACTTGGATGGCAATTGATTACAGTGTATATCTCTGTCATCACTAACTGTCCGTTTCGCAGCTGTCTCGGACCGGAAAATAAGTTTCGAAGAACCAAGAGAAGTGGATATCGTTCTCGCTGTCAAGAAGAGATAAAGTATTATTTATAGCATTAGTATAGAATTGTGAAAGGGCGGAGGTAGCTGTTGGCTCACGCCTGGCAATCCAAGCACTTTGGGAGGCCTGGCGGGGATCACGGAGGTCAGGGAGTTTGACACAGCCTGGCCAGCATTGTGTAACATCCATGCGCCTGCATCTACGTATGGAATATTATCAAAACAAATTAGGCGAGGCACTGAGCTAGAGAGCGTGACGTAATCCCAGTCTACTTGTCGAGAGCACTAGAGGCAAGGAGGAATTATTGAAACCCGGGAGGCAAGAGGGTGTAACAGCTGTGCTGAGATTTGCGTGTCTGCACTGCAGGCCTGGGTGGGCAGAGGCATGACTACATCTCATAGATAATAAAAAAAAAAGAAATAACAGGTATTGAATAATTGCTTATAAAATGTTATAATAACAATTTAGTCCAAGTTTCTTGGTCGATCATGGAGAATTAAACAATATGGACATGAATTGAGGGGTGAAGTGTAAAGTAGTCAATTTATTTAAAGAGTTGGTTTAGAGCAGATCCTATCTTTGTACGCTACCTAGTTACTATATATCAGTTATTATATTACTAAATCAGAGTTAGTTTGGTGGAATACAAAAAACCAGGATTCAGCAAAAGTAACCCTGGGGATGAATTACTAGGTCTTGAGTTGACAATCACACTCACTCTAGACTAACAGTTTAAAAATCAGAATAATCCCTTAGGGCATGTTATACAACTTGTCCTACATGGTGACAGACGCATAGAGACTGTCAAAATTCCCATACAACGCAACCAAACAGAAGTAGGGAGCAGAAGTCCTGGAAGAATAGTACTCAGTTGTCATAAAATTTATTTTAAAAACTATTAGCCCAGTGGCTCTGTGACTATAGTACCTTTCTTCTTCTCCTTCAGCACTGCAGAAGAATCAAACAACTGCATGTGCCACAGTGTTTTACAGAATTTTATGATTAAGATTGCTGTGTTTATGAAAGTAAGCTTACAAGACATAAAAGAGCTTTCTATAGTTGCTCTTTTCCCCAAGAACTGCAGTACCTGCAGCTTTAAATCAGTTTCAGCTGCCCAGCTGCTTAGGCGGTAGTGATGGAGGATAGCCAGTTACAGCCGACTGAGACAGGCAGAGATCAAGAATCTGGCTTATTAGAGCCAAGCACGGTGGAGCCCACCTATAGTCCCAGCTATGTAGGAGGCTGAAGTGGGGGGATTATTTGAACCCAGGAGTTCAAGATCAGCCTAGGCAAAATAACAAGACTTCATCTCAAAAAAACAAAAGAATCTGGTTTATCTGGTTTATTAATTACAAAGTGGAATAGAGTATATATTTGTATACAATATTTTATATATTTCTATATTCAGGCAGCATGTTTTCTTAGGTTAGGCCCTTCTTGGCTTCAAAAAGCCAAATGCTTGAAAACATGTAAGGAGTAGTAGGCTGAACAATGGCCACCTAAATATATAAAGTTCTGTCTCTGGCAACTGTGAAATTACCTTATTTGGGAAAAGGGTCTTTGCAGATGTGATTAAGTATCTTGAGATAAAGAGATAGCCCTGTATTATTATCCAGGTGGGCCCTGAATCTCATCCTAAATGTCCTTATAAGACAGAGGCAGAGGTAGATATTTCACACAGGTAGTAGAATACAAACACACAGAGAAGAAGGTAATGTGAAGATGGAGGTAGAGATCGGAGTGATGTGAACATAGCCCAGTAATGCTGTCAGCCACTAAAAGCTGCAAGAGGCAAGGAATAGATCCTGAGTCATTGGAGGGATGCAGATCTGCTGGAATAGCCTCTAGAACTCTGCGAGAATACATTTCTGTGGTTTTTTTTTTTTTTTTGAGATGGAGTCTCGCTCAGTCGCCCAGGCTGGAGTGCGGTGGCGCGATCTCAGCTCACTGCAAGCTCCGCCTCCCGAGTTCACGCCATTCTCCTGCCTCAGCCTCCCGAGTAGCTGGGACTACAGGTGCCCGCCACCACGCCTGGCTAATGTTTTGTATTTTTAGTAGAGATGGGGTTTCACCTTGTTAGCCAGGATGGTCTCGATCTCCTGACCTCGTGATCCACCCGTCTTGGCCTCCCAAAGTGCTGGGATTACAGGCGTGAGCCATCGTGCCCGGCCCACCTCTGTGGTTTTAAGCCATCCAAACTTGTGGTCATTTGTTACAGCAGCCTTAGGAAACAAATACGAAACACACGGAAAACTTGGTAGCCTGCTCTAGGCATGTATCACAGAAGAACAAAAGATACGGATAACAAAGCTGTTTTGACACGTGATAAATCCCACATGGGTTCGCATCCCAGTCTTTCAGCATTAGCTCTGCTTACCTACTCTAGCAATTTCCTCATTGAGACCATTTAATTTCTGGTCAAGAATGGCTGAATGAGACTCCAAATTGCTCATGTATGCCTGATACTTTTGAACATCTCCTTGTAAGGAAGCCTTCAGTTTTCTCAACGACTCTAGACGATTCTTTAAGAGAAAAGAATATCACTTCAGTTATTTTCAATAATCATTCCATATTTTATTTTAAAGTAAAGCAATATTATTTAAATTTATTTTAGAGAAAGGTAGATCTGAGTTTTCCTTTCACTTTTAGAGGGAGTCAAAATAACTAAAGGGGACTATACTGTCAGTTTGAAATAGGAAAAAAACAATGGCTGGAGTTGAAAAAGCACAAACATTTAAAATCTGGTACTTTACAACAACAGTTTGAGTGCTTCACTAATAATGCAGAAAATAAAGTTAGATATCTGAAAAACTCAGGATACAATATACTATATAAACCCATTTATTAACCATTCCTTTTGCACTATCTCCAAAACTCAGGGCTTCTTGTGACTAATGCTCCCTAGAGGTATATAATACAGGGCCTTTATTCAAAAGTACTTTTGGTCTTATGTAAGCAGGTAAGAATCTTTCATCATATTCAGAGCACCATTAGTCTAAGACTGATAGACCACAAGGGAAAACAAGGCTCCACAGATACCAAACATGTTTTCATTGGGAGTTCACTATGTGAAAATTTAACTTTTAAGAGGCTTAATTTGTTAATCTATTTTTAAAAAATTTTGATAAAGACAGCTAATATCCAAGGACACCCAAAAGTCTAAAGGAGCTCTCAAGTAAGTGTGTAAACATGTTTACTAACCGGTTCTTTTTCTCTTTCTTGTTCCAATCTTGCAATCTGTTCATTCAATGCTCTGTTTTTTGCTTCCAATGATTCCAGTTTAAAAGCATCCACATTAAATAAATCCTCTGGAGACAAAATCCAAAAGCTTTTTAAGACCTCAAATTTGCCTAGAACATTCTGTCCCAAGTTTTCACCATTAGTCCCTCCCTCACTTCCTTCTGGTCTCTGCCCAAAACACTATTAGTGAAGTACATCCCATCCTTGTAAAATAGCAAACGCTTTCCATTACTCCACTGTACTTCGACTCTCCTTGTCCTGCTTGATTTTTCTCCAAAGCACTTATCACCATTTGACTTAGAGTTGCTCACTTCATTGTTTTCCTCTTGCTGTCTACTAAAACGTAAGCTCTTAAGGGCAGAGGTTTTTATCCTATTCATTACTGTATCCTCAGTGCCTAAATGGTGGCTGGCGCATAGTAGGTATACAATAAATATTTATTTGAATGAATGAATGCAGTTTTTATGCTTGGTTAATTATATACAGAGCTATCAAATTCCTCACTAGATGCTTGGATCACTCTAATTTTTCCTCTCTTAAAGCCATTTATTTTGCTCCCTTTCCCATGTGAACAAGCTGAAATTGTCCTATTTACTCTTTAGGAAGATACAGATCCAGAGGACTATAAGGGAATGCTTTCACCTTTGTGCTAATACTGTGCAAGGTGATTGATTCCATTATCTTTGGAGGAATAGCTTCACCTCCATTTATCTACTTTACCTTCCATTTTGGCATTTTATATACAAGACTATTTCAATAGAAAGAACAAAAATGTAAAATAATACCTCTGGAATGTTTTAGAGTCAGCTAGTAAATACTGTATGTCACTAGGTTGTAAATGACCCAAAAAAAAAAAAAAAAAAAAAGATTTTCCTTACATATTTGGAAGTATGTCTTGTTAACTTTTGCCACAAATTTTGAAAGAGACCTTAGGTCTTTTGACTAATTGGTGCTTTAATTTCTCAAATAGTAAGCAAGGACAACATAGGGATATCATTCCCCAAGAGGAATAACATTTGCTAATTATCGTCTGTGCTTCTGGTAGCATGTTTGGTACTTTATTACACTGACATCTACTGCTGTTAAACTTTGTCAGATAGGTCAAACATTTTATTAAGGCCTCACAGACTGTAAGAGGTTCTGCCTCAGGTCTGGCTCCAACACTAGTATTCTTTTAGCTTAACTACTCTCCACCAAAGAAACCACAAAGATAAAAATCAGTAGGCATCCAGATACATTTAAAGTAAGTAACTCATATGAACATTGGATATGGTACATAAATTACCACCCCATGAGCTGAGTTAAATGACCAAAAGCAAACACCCTAAGAACGAGATCACTTACTCAGTTTTGACTGCAACTCTGCATTCATCTCATCAAAGCTGTCAGCACCACTCATAAAACTCTCATAGCATTTTATGGTGTAGTCCAAAAACAACTATGGGGTTAAGCAGATTATAAAAACAAAGTCATGATTCTCTATTTGGTTTGTTTCACTTTTCTAGGTGGAAATTTAAATTTGAATTTAAAAAATAGAAACACTAAGTAGTCAGATGAACCTATAAATAAGAGACAAAAACCTAGGCTATATAATTATGCTATACAGATGTATTTAGTCTGATACTTCTAAATATGAATAATGAGGATAAAATAACACTTAAATTTGGATAAAGGCAATATTTAAAAACAGTAAGCCATACCTTCAGAATTTTGAGAAGGTCAAACAAACAAGGAAGCTTATTAATACATGTAATTCAACATGAAATATACAAACTTAATCATCTTTAGGAATAAAGCACCTGATGAAAAATTTAAATAAACTGCTAATCATCTAAGTCCAATTGAATTGAGAAGGTCTAATTGCAAAAACCCAAATGTAATTAATGAAGGCTACAATTACATTGTAACTTCAGTCTACAAAATGAGTTGCATGATGAGTAGCAATCCAAACAGCACAATACTAGAATTCTTAACATTTATCCAAGAGAAAATAACACTATATTTTGCATTCATGAGATGTTTTGGTCACTGAGAATGTAGATTTTATGAGAAGGCAAGAATGGATGATCAGCATTTTCCATAGCCTAGATGAAGTAAATATCCCTCAAGACAGACCAATTCCCTTTGTGCTAATTTGTTGCTTATTAAGGTGACTTTGAAGTGAGTACTCTGAATAGGTAGTCTGAGTATTCCTGTAACTGGAAAAGTGTATCACTGATGGTAAATTAATACATTTTCATTCTCCTTCAAATCAGTTGCTGTGAATTTGGTAAGACTGAATCAGTTTCCTTAAGCTTGGTCAATGTTGATCTTATAGGTTTAAAAATATTGAGTTTGTGGACTCACAAAACTGAGTATCAGAATCTTGTGAAGACAGATACTCTGACAACTTTAATTACAAACAGTACTTTATAGTTTCCCATGTGCTTCTTTATATATTGTCATTTGAAATAATAGCTATAATAGCTCAGATAGCAAGAATAATTTTTAACCTTTAGGATGGATGTCAAGACATTTAACACTTTTTTTTTTTTTTGAGATAGGGTCTCACTTTGTCCCTCAGGCTGGAGTACAGTGACATGATCTTGGCTCACTGTAGCCTTGACCTCCTGGGCTCAAGTGATCCTGTAGCCTCAGCCTCCCGAGTAGCTGGGACCACAGGCATTCACCACCATACCCAGTTAATTTTTGTACTTTTTGTAGAGATGGGGTTTCGCCATGTTGCCTAGGCTGGTCTTGAACTCTGGAGCTCAAGCAATCTGCCCACCTCGGCCTCCCAAAGTGCTAGAATTACAGGTGTGAGCCACTGTGTCTGGTAAGACATTTAATATTTAATAGATGTTGTAATGTACTTGGGTGAAAACTGAGGTGCAATTAGAGGCAGCCCAATATACATATTGCAATGTGTGAGGATAATTTTCTCAAGGGGAGGATCAAAGGTTTCTAGGAGCCCTTCCAGCTGGGATCATTTTTGAAGTAGTAAAGGTGTGTGTTTATTTTTTGTTAAAAAGAAAAAGGCAATGATGCCAACACTAGTCGGTTGATGTATCTTTGAACTACATCCCAGGCAGTCATAAAAGATGGGACTGAAATTATTCCCACTTTTCTTTTGTGACAAAAGTTTCAAAGAATGAAGGTTAGAATTAGAACAGAGAATAGTTTTTCTTCTAAGTGGCCTGTGTGATGACTGGTTTTTTATGTATGGTAGGAAATATTAATGTATAATCTTAATGTTTCTTTTATCTCAACCACTTTTGGAAGTGGTGACTCTGAGCTAAGTGGCAATATGACTAATGAAAAAGGCCAAAACAAAATAAACAACCCACCCACGTGCAATATCTTAAGACTCAACCTATTATGTTTTGTATTGACAAAGAATTATATTAAAATAATGTTGCCAATATTGATATCTTCAGTCTACAACAGAAAGGAGGAAAATAAACATTACGTCTATAACATATAACGTGGTATGATTTAATTCAATCTCCTTCCATTTTTTACTTAGTAAACATTTTCAAATTTTTGTGACTAGTTAATTCTAAGAAATTATAATGTGATTCAAACAGATCCATTAATATTAAAAAAATCAAATTTAGAATGTTTTCAGGAAGCAAAAAGACAACTCTACAAAAGAATATACAGATAATCCCTGACTTAACGATGGTTAGACCTCAGATTTTTCAGCTTTCTGATGGTTCGAAAGCAATGGAGTAGCAACCATCCTTTAAGTATCCATACAACCTTTTTGCTTTTCACTGTTAGTATAGTATTCAATAAATTACAAGAGCTCTTCAATACTTTATTATAAAAATACGCTTTGTGTTAGATAATTTTGCCCAACTGTAAGCTAGTTTAATTGTTCTGAGAATGTTTAAGGTAGGCTAGGCTAAACTATGACGTTTGGCAGGTTAGGTGTATTAAGTGCATTTTCGACACGATATTTTCACCTTAGAGTCGGTTTATTACTCTATCATAAGTCGAGGGGCATCTGTATTAAATCCAATAGTGACACAATAATACCAAGGCAATTCATCATTACAGTTTATGATAATACATGGTACCTTATTATGCATAATTCCATCTTCAGTTTCTTCTCCCCAAGGCTGCCCATCATCAAATAAAGGTGAACTTTCTTTCATGGCAGTATGTATCTAATTAGTACACAAGCAAGAAAAGCAAGTTGATTTGAAAAATGCAACTTTCATATTTTGGCAAATTCTGTTTTTAGTGTCAATTTTAGAAGCATTTACATTATTGTGTAACTAAAAGTCTCTTTTGATAGGTCATTACATTGAACACATTAACACTTTTGACTTTCTTTTGAATAAAACAATTTGAAGGTATCCTTTTGATAATTTCAAAACCCTTTCGTTTAGTAACTAAACTCTTCAGGATCTAGAAAGGACGGACTCTATATTTACCTCCGTTCTACAGGGAAAAATGTTGACCTTTATGCTGTTATTAACCCACTGAGAGCAAATATACACATTTTAATGCAACTTTAAGAATCCAAAACAGAATTGCCGCATAAAAGGTGAGTCAATAATAATTTTTCAGTATGTACAATATGAACTTTAGACGAAATTTTACAATAGAAAATCTTTAGAAATACAATAGTTTCAATTGAAAGTGATAACATAAATTATAGCAAAACATTCAGATGTTTAAAATTGACAAGCTAAAAGGAAAATAGTTAAAGGTTTTTAAGGCACAGAAATTCTATTTTGGAATGCCTGTTTTTATATCTTCTTTTAAAAATATAACATTTAAAACATGAAAAAATAGAAAATTTAAACGAAATTGCTATAAATATACATAAATGTAGATATAAACACAGATATACTAGATATAAATATATCTATTAATATCTATTATTATCTTGATATATAGATATCTAGATATAAATATGTATTTTTTTTTTTGAGACGGAGTCTCACTTTGTCACCCAGGATGGAGTGTGGTAGTGCAATCTCGGCTCACTGCAACCTCTGCCTCCCAAGTTCAGGTGATTCTCCTGTCTCAGCCTCCGGAGTAGCTGGGATTACAGGCATGAGCCACCATGCCTGATTCATTTTTATATTTTCAGTAGAGACGGGGTTTCACCATGTTGGCCAGGCTGGTCTCGAACTCCTGACCTCAGGTGATCCAACCGCCTTGGCTTCCCAAAGTGCAGGGAATAACAATAATAACAATAACAGGGAATAACACTGCACCTGGCCAAGATATAAATATGTATCTAATAGTATAATGAACACTAAGCATAAGAATACTAACTTCTAGGAAAAGGATTATGCATTAGGAGTACATAAAAGAAGAATGGGGTTTCGAAAAACAATTAAGTTTTGTCATCTTGGAATTCACATACAGGATTTCTCAGGGAGACAATGTCCTTACCCTAGAGTTGTTTGCCCTGCTACCCCTTTCCTATTCTAAAGGCACTCAGAAGATTCTTTGTTTATCTAAGGAGGATGCAGAAGAGCTCTAACAACTGGGTCTTTTATCTTGTCTTTTTTTTTGACAAGGCCTCAGGTGGCAGATAGATTTTTTTTTTTTTGAGACGGAGTCTCCCTTTGTCGCCCACGCTGGAGTACAGTGGCTGAGATCTTGGCTCACTGCAACCTCCGCCTTCTGGGTTCAAGCGATTCTCTTGCCTCAGCCTCCTGAGTAGCTGGGATTACAGGTGCCTGTCACCATGCCTAATTTTTGCATTTTTAGTAGAGACAGCGTTTCACTATATTGGCCAGGCTGGTCTCAAACTCCTGACCTCAGGTGATCCACCCACCTCGGCCTCCCAAAGTGCTGGGATTACAGGCATGAGCCACCGTGCCCGGCCAACACATAGATTTAATAAAGTCTGAAAGACATGTAGGGCAGAACCCAAGATAAGGAAAAGAATCTTATATCTTGTCATCAGGGTAAAGACAGTTTCTGTCACCTTGTCAAGGTCCTTATGAAAACTCTTGCTACTTTGCAAGATTCAAGGAGAGCCTTACACAGGGACATACAGATCCGCAAGAGCTATAGAAAAGACTACTGAAAGGACTGAAGAATTACGAACTAGGAAGACTGGTTGAAATAGTATCAACCTGTAATTGTAGATATAAAAAGTATAGATTTGGATCATGTTTTCATCTACAGGTGGCATTTTCTACTATAACACCACTTCTTAATATTGTGAGACATCAGAGGAGGAAAAGGACACAGAGGGATCTGGGATAAGTCAGGCCCAAGTTCACTTTGATCACTAACCAAAAGGCTAACAAGATGCTCCTGAAGTGTATGCAACCCTCCTATTTATGGTCCTTAGTAGAGAAGACATGGTAACTTTGGCTAAATTATTATCACTTAGACACCATAATAAGGACTGATTATCTGCCAAGTTCTGTGCAAGGAGGCATAGTGAGATAGGAAATCAAAGTTTATTTATAAAGCATGAACAAACAATTCAGGAGCATAATGAATAATAAACAATGAACAAATAGAGGTCATTAGGAAATCAACATATTAGATCAATAGGTCAAGACAACAACAATAATTTCAATACATCCTGCAAAAGCATAGGATAACCTTCAAAGATCATTCTTGATAAAAGTGAATAAACTTCAACACGAAAAACATTATCTTCTATTGAATACATCATACTAAATGATAAAATGAAAAATATTTAATTTAAAAACAGTGGTTAGTAATAGAAATCAACTGAGAACAGTAGTTGTAATAAAGCAATTCGATAAGGGTAGTAAACACAAAAAACTCTTTTGGTAATAATCACCATAGAAATAGAATTAAAAAAAGAGAAAACCTGTTCATCATAGTAACAAAACACATGGCATTGATAAAAAATATGTTGTTTGATATTAAGAAAACTACATGGCCAGGTATGGTGGCTCATGCCTGTAATCCCAGCACTTTGGGAGGCTGTGGCAGGTGGATCACCTTACGTCAGGAGTTCAAGACCAGCCTGGCCAACATGGTGACACCCTGTCTCTACTGAAAACACAAAAATTAGCCAGGCGTTGTGGTGGGCACCTGTAATCCTAGCTACTTGGGAGGCTGAGGCATGAGAATTGCTTGAACCTGGGAGGTGGAGCTTGCAGTGAGCTGAGATCACGCCACTGCATTCCCGCCTGGGCAACAAAGCAAGACTCTGTCTCAAAACAAACAAACAAACAAACAAAAACAAACAAAAAAACTCCATAAAACGAAAAAACAAAAAACAAAAACAAAATCTTACTGAAGGAACAAAAGAGATGAATAAATGAGATTTAACACGTTCCCAAATGACAAGATTAAACATTGACAGGATGGAAATTTCCCCTTATATATCATGAATTCAATGTTATATCAATAATAACAAAATCACAAGATTTTGTTAAAATCTGAAAAAATAATTTAGAGAGTGAGGATATGACAATAGCTAACATTGTAAAAAGAAGTTCCTCCTCTACATAAAATATATTAGAAAGTGACAGGAATTAGTATGGTCATGAAGCAGGGATAGAAAAAAAAGAGCAGAGAAATAGGTTTAATTAAGAACATACTGGTGACAGTTCAAACTGTGGGGAAAGTATCAGCTATTTATTTTTGAGATGGAGTTTTGCTCTGTTGCCTAGGCTGGAGTGCAGTGGTGTGATACTGGCTCACTGCAACCTCCACCTCCTGGGTTCAAATGATTCTCGTGCCTCAGCTTCCCAAGTAGCCGGGACTTCAGGCATGCACCATCACACCTGGCTAATAATTTTGTATTTTTAGTGGAGACGGGGTTTTGTCATGTTGACCAGGCTGGTCTCTAACTCCTGACCTCAGGTGATCTACCTGCCTCAGTCTCCCAAAGTGCTGGGATTACAGGCATGAGCCACAGCACCCTGCCTCAGTCTCCCAAAGTGCTGGGATTACAGGCATGAGCCACAGCACCCGGCCAACATCAGTTATTCCATAAATGGGACTGAGATACATGAGTGAATCATTTAAAAAAGAAGGCCTTGTCTTTCTTTTACTAACATAAACTGGAGATGAATTAAGATTTAAACACAGCACAAAGATTTAAATACACATAAAAATACTAGGAGAAAATTTGAAAAATTGTTTTTTAAAAAACACTGGGGAGGAAAACAAGCCTTCCTAAATGTGGCTACATTTCTAGGCTTCTGTTAAGTGAGAGAGAAAATCAGAAAAAGAAACCTGCAGTCTCTCATGGATTAATACATCACATCATACAAAGCAATATAAAAAGGAGGGGACTCCAACTTAAATAATGGGCTTGGAGGGCCGGGCGCGGTGACTCACGCCTGTAATCCCAGCACTTTGGGAGGCTGAGGTGGGCGGATCACGAGGTCAGGAGATAGAGACCAGCCTGGCTAACATGGTGAAACCCCATCTCTACTAAAAACACAAAAAATTAGCTGGATGCGATGGCGGGTGCCTATAATCCCTGCTACTCAAGAGGCTGAGGCAGAGAATTGCTTGAACCTGGGAGGTGAAGGTTGCAGTGAGCTGAGATTGCACCACTGCACTCCAGCCCGGGCGAAAAAGTGAGACTCGTCTCAAAAAAAAAAAAAAAAAAAGGAAAAAGGAAAAAAAAGAGGGGCTTGGAGGTATCACAAGAGGCCCCCCCCCAAGTGAAGCTACTGTAGGTAATCCACAAGCTCCACATGCTATCTCCCAACCACACAATATCATAAGCTGCTTAGGCAAACAAGGGTTAAGTGTTCTAGTGACAATGGGGATATCTGATGGTGAGAGCAAAAAAGTAGGTATCAAATGTCCATGGGCATCACTGGAGAGAAACAAGTTGAATGCATAAATGTTCTATATAAAGTCCAATGAAACTTGGATTTTTATTAATGGGCTATGGCATTGGAATTCTGCTCTCTTGACAATGGGTGGTACTATATGTATCAGCATGGCTCCTGGGTCAAAATCCATATACCCAGTGCCTGACTTCATTTAGTTAAAGGCTTGCTGATGGCCAAGACAATGTCAGAGGAACAGTATTAGCTTTAGGAATTCTAGTACTAAGTAGGACAGGAAACTCAGAAGCTACAACAGGAGAGACTGCATTAAATTAGATAAAAACTCACATTTCTGAACAGACAAAACAGCACATGAAATTAAAAAACAAAGAAAGGGAGAAAAAAATTACTTGCACCATAGAGACGGGAGCTAATTTCTCTGACTCAACCATTTTTGACTTAACAAAATGGCATTCTTGCAAATCAATACAAAAAAAGAAAAATATCAAGAGAGTAGATATTATAATAAATGTAAAAAAGTTCACCTTTAAAAACAAAAAATGTAAATAAGAAAAAATTAGCTATCAATTTTTTTTGCTTGTTGTGTTGCCAACTATTAAAACTATCAGTAAGTTTAATAAAGATTCAAATTCATAGCAAAAAGCAAATGGTAAAATATAAACGTGCCTAAAAAACCATGTACAAGCAAGTTAAAAGAAAAATAACGGTAAAAACATAAATTGTTTAAATATATGCATACACGCACACATATATACACATATACATATACATTTCTATGTAAACAGCGATCTGTCACCTCCTAAATTGATAAAGATTGAAAACAACAATGCTTACGGTTTGGAAAAATGGCTGTGCTCAAACATTGTTGAGCTTTTAATTGGTACAAGTTTTCTAGAGAAAAATTTCTCGGTATGTATCAAAAGTTTAAAAAATACACATATAGTACTTTGCACAGCAACACACACTTTTAAAACTGTATCACAAGGAGCTGGTCATGGTGGCTCACGCCTGTAATCCCAGCACTTTGGGAAGCTGAGGCGGGCAGATCACCTGAGGTCAGGAGTTTGAGACCAGCCTGGCTAACGAGGTGGAACCCTGTCTTCACTAAAAATACAAAATTAGCCGGGTGTGGTGGTGCATGCCTGTAATCCCAGCTACTCAGGAGGCTGAGGCAGGAGAATTTCTTGAACTTGGGAGGCGGAGGTTGCAGTGAGCTGAAATCATGCCACTGCCCTCCAGCCTGGGCAACACAGCGAGACTCCATCTCAAAAACAAAACAAAACAAAACAAAAACAAACTATCACAAGGAAATGTTTTATGTTATTGTCACTGAGTTTGGAGATTATGGTTATATCACTGCATTCTCCAAACTTCTTGCAGTGAATATGGATTTTAATTAAAAAGGGTGAAAATGGGCCGGGCACGGTGGTTCACGCTTGTAATCCCAGCACTTTGGGAGGCCGAGACGGGCGGATCAGGAGGTCAGGAGATTGAGACCATCCTGGCTAACACGGTGAAACCCCGTCTCTACTAAAAAATACAAAAAAAAAAAATTAGCCGGGCGTGGTGGCAGGCGCCTGTAGTCCCAGCTACTCGGGAGGCTGAGGCAGGAGAATGGCGTGAACCCGGGAGGCGGAGGTTGCAGTGAGCCAAGATCGCGCCACTGCACTCCAGCTTGGGCGGCAGAGCAAGACTCTGTCTCAAAAAAAAAAAAAAAAAAAGGGGGTGAAAATGAATTTCATGAGAGAAAATAAAAAATGAATTTCCTATTGATTCATTTTTTGAGTTGTAAAGCCTCATGATAATAAATAATCTCCTTGTCAATTTGGTACTTTCTTCCTTTTACCTCATGATAATAGTTTGAAAAACATAAAATTAAATGTGCTTTGAAAAATGAAAACTTTGAAGCAGACTTTGAGAATACTGTCAAAAGACTGGGAGAGAAAAATATCTTTTTGAGGAAAAAACCCTTTCCCATGTATACGTTTCAAAAGAACAAATCAAATACCTTGATGCAGTCTATTAGCCAAACTAAGGCTGCCACAATGTGAGGCCACGTATGAGGAGCCCCTACTGTATACATGGAGCTTTTGGATAGTGCAAAAGGATACCTATGAGAAATCAGAAAAACATAAGCTAATTTGATGTTACTATAATCTACTAAACATAATGGTTAATCAAGAAGCTACATTTAAACAATTCCACATATACACCCAGTCTTGACTTGTGTAGAGGTAAGATATGTTGGGATTCTATCCTTAGTCATCTTAATCTCTGTGTATTTCTCTGTAGATTATCTTGTACATCTATCCCTCAAGCTGCAGAACTTGATCTATACAACCAAAACGCTGGACTACTCTCCCAAAGGATTTTTGTTCCCTCAAATTCAATATACCCCCAATAAACAACAAGTATGTACACCTCCAAATCCATTCTCCCCCCCTTTCAATTTCATCACACTCTGTTTTCACCAGGCGTGAACCCTGGTTTTTTTTTTTTTTGGCTTCTGTAAAATCTTTGGTATCCAGCCTGTCTTTTCTACTCTCTGTCACTTCAGCAGTTCAGGGCTTTATATTCTATCTTCTGTTGCTCTGTAATAACCTACGGGTAGTTTTTTTCTTAACAAAGAAAGTGTATTTAATCCGTCTGTATCCATCATCAAACTTCATCAGTTACTAACAATTTGTTAATCCTTCCTGCTTCTACCACCAGCACTTTTTATTTGTTTTTTGTAAGCAGTTGCTTTTTTTCTCTTCAATTTATCCTACATATATTTTTCCCAGTGGTCATCCTAAAACATATTATTTCTGTAACTCAAACTTTTTACAAATTGATGTAATTTGTTTTGTCTCTGTGTGCCAGTCACATCTCTAACTAATGAGAAATATACATACCCAAGGTCTTTAAAGATTCTTGGAACCTCTTCTTCAAACTTTGTGTCAGGAAGTTCGTATGAGGGACACAGGAAGCCATAAAGAAATGTGAAGATCTTCAGGAAGTCTTTAACAGAGGGAGCTTGTAGAGATTTCATGGACACATTATGTGCATAACCATTTTCTGTAAGAAACTACGATAATTTTTATGAAACACCAAACATTTTGTAATGGGAAATTATTGGAAAATACCTATGACAACAATCACAGTCGAGATTAAAATCCTAAAGTACCTCACAGAGTTGTCGAATACATTGCTGAATGAATGCTTTGTCATTAAGTGGTCTCGGGTCCTTGATTTTCTCAGAACTGGAAAATATACCAAGTTGACTATTCCGGGATCCATGTCCACTAGTTCTGGAAATATATTTTTAAAAAGCCAGTTAAAACTATTTCCTTCTGTGATCAAGACTAAATTATTTCAAGGCAGTTTTGCAATTTAATAACAACATCAAACATTACATTCTTATAACTAAACAGATTTATCTCATTTAAAGCAGAGAAAAAGAGCAAATAATGAAGAGTAAAATATGAGGTTACAGCAGTTAAACATAAGGATGTAAAACAAGGCAAGAAGAAACACACACTTGGCCGGGCACAGTGACTCATGCCTGTAATCCCAGCACTTTGGGAGGCCGAGGTGGGTGGATCATGAGGTCAGGAGTTTAAGACCAGTCTGGCCAAGATGGTGAAACCTCGTCTCTACTAAAAATACAAAAAAATTAGCTGGATGTGTTGGCAGGTGCCTGTAATCCTAGCTACTTGGGAGGCTGAGGCAGGAGAATTGCTTGAACCAGGGAGGTGGAGGTTGCAGTGAGCCGAGATCGCGCCACTGCATTCCAGCCTGGGCGACAGAGCGAGACTCCATCTCAAAAAAAAAAAAAAAAAAAATGCAGACAATATCACTATCTTCTCATAGGGCAGTTGTGAGGATTGATTGAAAGATTTAATATAGATAAAACACTTAATGTCTGGCCTATAGGAATGCTCCACAAATATTAGATTTCATTACTATCACCTCTAAAGTTTAGCTCTGAGATGAGTTACATTACAAAAATACCTTAAGATTTTTTATCAACTGAAATAAATACCAAAATGGAAGTTTAAACCAATAAAACCAAATTGGTTTCACGGCAGAGATTTTTTAAAAGGTGACAAGTACTTCATATCTAAATATTTTCAAAACAATGGAAGAAACAGGTTTGTCTTAAAGTTTTGTTTTGGCGAGACAACAACATAATTTATCATCTTAATTTTGGGGTTGAACACTTTAAAAAAAATATCAATTTTATTGACATAATTTGTTGATAATAAAATGCATACAGTTTGATGAAGTTTGACAATATACGCATTTGTGTCACCTCTGCCAATCAAAATATGACCATTTCTATCATCCCCCAAAGTCTCCTTATGCCCATTAACAGTCAATCCTTCTGCAACCTGCAGCCTAGACAACCACTGACCTACTCCAGATAGAGGGTTGTTCTCAAAGTGTTGTCTAGGGATCACTGAGAAGTCAAAACTAGTTTTATGATAAAACTAAGATGTTATTTGCTCTTTTCATTTTCAATCTCTCATGAGTGTACAGTGGAGTTTTCCAAAGGCTGATAACATGATGTATGATACTGTAACCGATTAAATGCAGAAGCAAGTATTAGAATCTAGCTGTCTGCTATTAAGCCGTAAGAGATTTGCAAAAACCTATAACAATGTCACTCTTCTTACTGAAATTGTTATATTTTTGAAAATATGTTTTTTAAAAGTTGAAAACATATTATTTATGTTACCATGTAATGGATTGTTATTTTAAATTGAATATATATTTTAAATTTTTCTCAGTTTTACTTTCTACTACAGTTAATTTAGACAGATATAGCCCATAAAACAAAAGCACTGTGGAGTTCTCATTAACCTTTTAGACTGTAAAAAAAGACTAAAATGTTGGACTAGATGATGTTTTTTCATTTTACATTTATTTTTTTGAGACAGGGTGTTTCTCTGTTGCCTAGGCTGGAGTGCAGTGGCACTAACAAGGCTCACTGGAGCCTCAACCTTCTGGGCTCAAGCAAACCTGCCTAAGCCTCTTGAGTAGCTAGGATTATAGGCGTGCACCATGATGCTTGGCTAATTTTTAAATTAAAAAAAGTTTTTTTTTGAGACAGAGTTTCACTGTCACCCAGGGTGGAGTGCACTGGTACGATCTCAACTCACTGGACCCTCCGCCTCCTGGGTTCACGTGATCCTCTTGCCTCAGCCTCCCAAGTAAATGGGATTACAGGCATGTGCCACTGCCCCCGGCTAATAATTGTATTTTTTGTAGAGACAGGGTTTCACCATGTTGCCCAGCTGGGTCTTGAACTCCTGAACTCAAGTGATCTGCCCGCCTTGGCCTCCCAAAGTGTTGGGATTACAGGTGTGAGCCACCACACCTGGCTAATTAAGAACAATTTTTTTTGTAAAGACAGGGTCTTGCAATGTTGCCCAGGGTGGTCTTGAACTCTTGGACTCAAGATCATCTCAGCCTCCCATCTCAGCCTCCTAAAGTGCTGGGATTACAGGTGTGAGCCACTGCACCTGGTCTACATGCCTGCCTGGCTAATTAAAAAAATGTAGAGTCAGAGCCTTGTCGTGTTGCGCAGGCTGGTCTTGGACTCCTGGACTCAAGCAATCCTCCCATCTCGGCCTCCCACAGTGCTGGGATTACAGGTATGCCACCATGCCTGGCCACTCCTTATTTTAAAATGCTATGACTCCACTGTGTCTGAAAGCTAGATATAGAATTTTCAATCAACTATTTACTTGTAACAATGAAAGTGGTCTGAATGTGTTAGCTATAGTGTCTAAAGCAGATATAACCTAAAATTTTAACCATTTAAAATCAGAGGAAAACTAGATTATAACTTTTCTCTCGAAAGGAACCATGTCATCTAATGTATTTGTTCTCGGAGGGCAACAACGTATGGCTATAAGAATCCCTTTATTAGAGCTAATAAAAAATATAATTACCTTTTGCCAAATAGTGAGACTTTTCTTTCAGATGTTGGTTTGTTTATACTCAACTTTCCAAAGGTTGGTCTCTCTTTGCTTTAAAGAAAAATAGAAAACAACTCTTTAAAATAAAAATAAAAATTAGCTTGAGAAACTTTTAGAAATATGTTAGAACCAACAACTCTTCCCCACTACCTATAAAAATAATTCAAAAATCATAAAAATGTTTAGCAGTCATGGAAGCTGTCACAAACAGGATGGGCTACACACGGTACTATAAGTTATAATGCTTGTAATGTTGGGGGACCAGCAGAGGTCCCTCTGGCATATGTACCCTTTGGTAGATTTAGTCTTTGTTTTAACCTCAGCATGGTCTGTTTTACACATCTCATTTTTAATAACTATCTAAACATTTTCTACCCTAAATTTGCATTTCCAAAGGGTAAAAACAAGGTGAAAAAACACCCCTGAAGGTAAAGAACAAGATAGAAAATTTGTAGCTCAAAGACACAGAACATACTTTCAGGCCTAAATATCATTATTATTATTACTTTCTAATTTTAAATTAACAGAAAAAACTAAAAATTGACACATAATTATACCAATTTATGGGGTAGATAGTGATGCTGTGATACATATAATGTACAGTGATCAGATCAGGGTAATTACCATATCCATCATCTCAAATATTTATCATTTCTTTGTGTTGGGAACAGTCAATATTCTCCTAGCTATTTAAAACTATACAATATGTTATTGTTAACTATAGTCGTTATACAGTGCTATAGAACAACAGAACTTATTCCTCCTATTTAGCTATAATTTTGTGTCCTTTCACAGATCTCTCCCTATTTCCCTCTTCTCTTTACCCTTCCCAGCCTGTAGCATCCATTTTATTTTTTACTTCTATGAGATAAACTTTTTTCAGCTTTCACCTATGAGAACATGTGCTGTTTAATTGTCTATTCCCGGCTTATTTCACTTATTTGCCAAGACAAAGAAAAGTGTAGGTAGGAAGTCCAGTTAAGACAAAATGGTCGAAGATAAGGCTTGTTATGCAGACTTAAGTCTTTGGCTTCTCTCCCGAACAAAAATCCTATCTACATTATGATTTCCATTATCTTAACCACATTTACATTTTTTTTTCTTCTAGAACCTACTCTGTATCAGAATGTAGCTGCACTTATTACATTATCTAAACTGTAGGCAAAAAACATTGACAATGGTGACCTTTTAGCTTCTAATACAATTAAACGCATAACGTCTTTTTGGCATAAGTAATGTATAACAGCACAAAAATTTTCCTGGTTTACAGTATTCAAAAGGAAAAATATATAAATATTTCAGATTTCTAAAAGTAGCATAGGCTCATGCTATGTAAATCCAACTAATTTAAAAACAGCAAGTAATTCGTACCTCGGTCCTAGAGAAGAATTTACACAGCTCTACAATGGCTTACAGATCGCCTTCTCTTATCTGGAAGATAATCACTCATAATGAAAAACTACAGTTTTATGATAGCAAGTTCTTTCAGATATTTTTTCCAGCAGATCTTGAGGAATGAGTTTGGGGGAGTGGTGTTTTGTAGGCTGCTACTATATTATACCTTATTATGAGAGCAAATAATTTTGCTCTGATTTGACTGAAGCTTTGCTAATTGGAGATACCTCAGTGAACTGTAAGTTACAGCACAGAGTCCGCTTAAACAAGTAGCTCTAGCGTAAAAGGGAAAAATAACAGAGTACTGAAGAAGAATTAACAGTCTTTTTAGGGGGTGCCTGGTAAAGCATTTGGCTTTGCGAATTTAAGAAATAAATGAGACACACAACACCTAGCAGAGTATCATGTCCACTTTTAGATTTCATTGATCTAAAATTAGGTACCTCTGGGAACAGACAAGATTCACCAAGACATCACTCATATTACATATTTGTATTAACTATTTTGATGATTGCTTGGCTTAAGATGATAAGGCATGCAAGCTGGAACCACAAGGGAAATACTTACGTTTGAGGGGTATAGAGGCCTTGTTTATTTACATCCTGGGATCTTAGCTCCTGCATGGAGAGGCGGCCAGCACCACCGGTGGAAACTGAACTGCGCTTCATGCTGATGACCTACATTCACGAATTCAGTATTAAAAAAAACACTTTCCAGACAGAGATGGTACATTAAGCAACTATTTATCCTTAAACAGAAAGGCAGTCAGGTTTCATCGTTTCTTCAGGATCATCATCTTTCCCCTGGGGTATCTGTATTTGTTAATGTGCACTGAAGTTCTCATTTGCAGGGAACATCTATTTAATTCCATTTAAAAATATTCAACATAAACATTTATTAACTGCCCACTATGTATAAGGGAGTGTGCTAGGCAATGCAGGAGATGCAAAGATGAGTAAGTTACGGTTTTTGCCTTCACAAAGGTATCCGTGGTAGCTAAAGCCCTGTCTATTACCCAGACCACATCACTGCTGTTGGCTGTGCCTACTTCAATAGGAAGACAAAAAAATTACCTCAAATTCTCTTATTCATCTCAAAATGTTTCCTTTTCTTTTGTTTCAGAGAATGGAACTATTCTGTTTTCCTAATGTCAATCTCTCCTGCTCTATCCTTAACCCATTGTTTCTCAATTACTGCCCTTTTGGCATCAATCTCCCCTTCAACAAGGATAAATCACCTGGTCCATAAAATGGTCTATAGGCTGCCTCCATTTACAAGCCACAATAACAGGTCACTCCCTTCACATCTGCTAAAAAGGTTGTCTCCTAGGATACACATGATTGACAAAACTTTTGATCCAGTCTCATCTCTGCACCCAGACTTCTCAGGTCCTGCCCTGGCTTTCAGGAAGGTGACAATCCTTTTACTTCTCTGGGTACTCCTTAGTCTTTTACACTGATTACACTCTTCTTGGTTTTGGCCGCCTATTTCTTCTTCGATGTGCGCTTGTTTATCTATTCAACTTTTCCACCCACACCTGTGTGTCCACGTTTAATCTCCACTTACAGTGTACTCTCATGACTTAAGATGAAGACTTCTACGCAGTCCTACACGGCCACTAAGAAGCTACACTAGTATTTGGACGCAACCCACCCAACGGATCCTCTCTTGTCCATCTCTTTCCGCCCCCTTCAATCCTTCCCCGTTTCCTCTCCCGAGCCTCCACTCCTCATCAGTGTTCCCCAGGCCCTCCCCTTTCCTCCTTGGGAAATCTTTGCCACTAGAAATTTAATGGACCCCATGAAACCAGCGCCTCGCACAGTTTTGGCCCCGAGGCTTCTCTCAACAGCAAACACACACCAAAACATTGCCTTAGGACCTCTAAATTGAAGTCATTTGCGCCATTACTTTCTTCATCCAGAACAGTTCTGCAGAAACAAAGTTAATCCAATGTCATCAGTCACCTTTTATCCAGTTTCCTGACACGACCCAGGGACCAAATTTCTGTAAACCGTGCAAGTATCCGCTAGATAGGACAGCAGTCATCAAAACACCAGCTCCTTCCTCAGCCCGCCAAGGCCGTTCGAATTTGAAATTCTCCGCCGGCGCGGACGTCATTACGCACGACGCGCTCCGTAACTTTCCTGCGACCGCCTGGTCTCTGGAAGTATGTGTGCTGGTCGCGCCCAGCCGCCTCACCCAAAACTGGTGTCTGTGGGACAGTGTAAGCGTCCCTTCGAGGTCGGACCCCGTCTTTAGGGCACGACCCCTAAAGTTAGGTCTGAAGACCCGTGGGCAGCCTGAGCGCCGAGGAGCGCCCTGAGCGCTCAACTAGCCCTGGAAACGTTTTTCCGTACAGCAACATGGCGGCGCCCATGGACTCTTAGTAAAGAAGAAAGCTTTTTTTTCTGTGGACTGAAAGGGGCGTTTTTCATGATCCGTATTTAGATGGGTGCTGTTTTCATGAGGAGAGTCTGGGAAGGCGGCGTCCGCTTCTCTGACAAGGGACGAGGTGAGGTGGGAGAGGGGCTGCGGAGTGGGGGCGGTGGGCTCCAAGGATTGCGTTGGTACGGCTGCCGCCGAAATTCGGGGTCAGTATTTGATCACTTGCTGGTGTCTCACAGTCCTCTAGTGGTGGCTGACCTGTGAGAGGCTAGGAAGAATCCGAGTGGTTGGGGGCAGGCGGCGAGAGAGTGGATGTGAAGCAGAGACGCAGGAGAGGGGTACACTAAGAACGGTAACAGTAAATCACTTTGCTAAAATAGGATTTCCTCGCTGCTGTGAGTTTGAACCCAGAAACAGGCACTGCCTGGTACCTGGAGAGTGGTGGTGATGAAAGATCTCACAGCTCCAGGAAGTCTGGATACTTGGGTCTGGTAGCAATTGTGCCATTAACTAGCGTTGTTATTTTTGGGCAGGTTGCCTTTCTGCTCTGAGTTTCAATTTTCCCTTCTGAATTTCTAGCTTTCAGTAGCCATTCCAGGACCATTTGACCTCAGCTGTGGCCTATGAAGGGGATGGGGAGGAACCAAGGATTATATTAATATAAAAATTGTATTAAAATTAGACAACAGTCCGATAATAGAAAGTCTCCTTGTGGAATACTGTTAGCTTAAACTTTACCTACAGATTGTTAAATCCTTAGCACTAATGTTTTCCCCAGAAAATATTAATGGAAACATCATTTGCTTTTCAGACTAGACAGTTGTTGCTTCAAAAGGTGGTTTTACACAAATATGAAATTTAAAAAAACTTTAGTACAGAAAGAATTGCTTGTATTTCGGTATACATCCACAGTTCAGCATTTAGTGGTACTGTCAGCAATTTGCCAGGAAGTCAAGCCTGACAATTTCCTGATACTCCTGCTGTGCACCCCAAGTTCTTAATCCCTGCTGAGGATCTTGAGAAGCAGCAGTACCAAAACCAAAGTAGGCACCAAATTCAAGGTTCTTTTGGTTCCAGTTGTCACATTTCAAGCTAGACTCCAATAGATTGCAAGGATGATCAAATGAGAGCCCTGTTTAAAACTTCAATTTTTAAGAGCAAGCACAATTGCAGGAAAAGAAAACAATTCATAGGGATCATGTGTACTTACAGTTGTCTTCATGTGGCCTTTTCCCAGGTTTAACTACCAAAGACCCTGAGAGCCGGGGTGTCTGAATAACCCTGGTGACTCTTCTTTTCACCATATCAAAACCTGAGTTAAAAGCCTGATGATAACAGCAGAAGGTGGCAGGGCTGAGGACCCAATATTCATTTCCTAGGCTGGTGGAGAGTGAATAAATGTGCTTCCAACCTTACCTTATGGCTTCTGGTCAAAGCAAGGAAGTGTTGGGTGGTGACAGTGCAAAAAGAGACTTGACGGGGAGGGAGCAGCATCTCTTGATAAAGGTGGGGAAGAGAAGATATGGGGAAAGCCCTGAATTCCTCATGGAAGGCCAGTCTCAGAGGGGAGCAGAGTGGAGGGCTTATGATCTGTGCTTTGGCCAAGGTGGGAGTGGAAGAGGTGGGGACAGGACAGTGGTTTGGAAGGAGCATCATTGAATACTTAAACTGAGTGCCCACACACTCAGCAGTGGTCCCACAGGCTGTGAACTTGGCATCTACTCTAGCGAGCCTCCCAGGCTAGAGGGCTGTTGCAGGGGGTGGGGGTGGGAGGCAGGGAGAGTGGTAGGGGGAGAAGGCAGAGACCCCAGGACATGTAAGAGCAGCAAGGTGATTGTGTGATGTCTTTCCACAGTCGAATTAGATGTACCTCACCAGTTATGAAGGGGATCAATTTAAATATACTTTCTTGATCCTGTCGCTTGACAGGATGATTTGTTATAGCACAACTTACATATTTTAAATGGACAAAAAAGTATCATTCACAGAATCTTAAGATACATTTCTTTTGAATAGGAGCAGCCTTTCTAGTACTTCGAGGTCTACAAGATGTATCTAGGAAATTTACTGTTGAAAATGAAGACTGCTTAAATTCAATGGGAGTGGGGAAAAGGGACTGTGGTTTTTCTTTTTGATTGATTGCTGTAACACTGTCTTTCAGGCTGCTGAGGGAGTTTAATGTTTTCTTTAGATGTCATTAGGTGTCCAACCTCTTGTAAGACAACTTTGATGCTATGTAAATTCTGCTATTTTGCTGGCCCTGAAATGGCTCTTGAGTCCACCACTCCTTTAGAACAACTAATTCCATATTAATTTTTGTTACACATCTTACAGAGGGGAGTGCTGCTGGGTATTTAGGTCCACATTCTATTTTAAGGCTGTATATTCTGTTTTCGTAAATTGTTCTTGGAGGCCCAATTATCATCCCTGTCCATTTGGTAAGGGTCATGTCTTTATCATCTTCAAGACTCTAGCTAACTGTGCCATCTCATACTCCTTTCTTTTTTCTTTTTTTTTTTTGAGATGTAGTTTCACTCTTGTTGCCCTGGCTGGAGTGCAGTGGTGCAATCTCGGCTCACTGCAACCTCTCTCTCCTGGGTTCAAGTGATTCTCATGCCTCAGCCTCCCGAGTAGCTGGGATTACAGGCGCATGCCACCACGCCTAGCTAATTTTTGTACTGTTAGTAGAGACGGGGTTTCACCATGTTGGCCAGGCTGGTCTCAAACTCCCAGCTTCAGGCCATCCGCCCGCCCCGGCCTCCCAAAGTGCTGGGATTACAGGTGTGAGCCACCATGCCTGGCCACCCCTTTCTAACCTTCTTCAGGTTCTTCCAACAGTTGGAAATTGAGAGGTACTCCTACTCCTGAGCCTGTGGTGGCTGCCATCATGTGTCACTGTCACTCTTAGGCTGGCCCTTTCTTCCCTCTAATTCATTTCTGACACTATTTATATCTCGAGATAGTGTCACATCTGCCAGATTCATTGTATAGACATGAGTAATTACATCATTGGTCAGTGGTGATCAACTCAGCCTTCATCCCCGCACTTGGTAAGGCTGCAGGGGCTGTGAGCCAGGAACTGTGGATGAATACCAATGTACATCATAATACATAATATCACTTATGGAGTTAGAAATTTGAATCTAAATGCTATGATTATTAGTGCCATTAGTCACTCATTTATTTATTATTCTGTCCCCTCTTAAGTTCTCCACTGCACTGGATTTAGAAAGCAGTATTTAGAATTCTAATCCATCTTTTGAACAAAAGTTGGTTCTGAGAAACCTAGTTACCCAAATGGTATTGCTCAGAACCTATTACAGATCTAGACTCTTTTTTTTTTTTTTTTTTTTGAGACGGAGTCTCGTTCTGTCACCCAGGCTGGAGTACAGTGGCCAGATCTCAGCTCACTACAAGCTCCGCCTCCCGGGTTTAGCCATTCTCCTGGCTCAGCCTCCCGAGTAGCTGGGACTACAGGCGCCCGCCACTTCGCCCAGCTAGTTTTTTGTATTTTTTAGTAGAGACGGGGTTTCACCGTGTTAGCCAGGATGGTCTCGATCTCCTGACCTCGTGATCTGCCCATCTCGGCCTCCCAAAGTGCTGGGATTACAGGCTTGAGCCACCGCGCCCGGCCAGATCTAGACTCTTAACCTTGCAGTTTTGGTAGGGTTTAATGCTTCTGATGTGCTGTTAAAATTGCATTTTCTCTGACTAGAACAATTTTTTCTTTTAACCTTATTACTCTATCGGTAGTAGTGATTAAGCAGGGCAGCTGATACTGGAGAATGGGCTGACTTATTATGACAAGTGTAGTTTGAAAAAACGAGGGATTACCTGCTAACAGCACCTTCTGAAATTTTGTGCCCCTCTCTAGATAGGTTTATCTCATTAAAACGGGTGAATTCACGTAGCTAATATAGTGTTCTTTGCTTTTACAGAATACTTTGTCCTTTTAAGGATTCAGTGACTTCGTGACTTGGAGGATAGTGGCTAGACCGAAGGACCAAAGCAAGAAGTCGTGGGAGGCCCAGAAAGACAGGAGGATCACATTGAGATTCCAGACATAAGATCAGGTTTTAACCCCTTTTGGCCAAATTTAGGCTGAAAATGTTGAATTATCAACTCTGAAGTTAAAAAGAAAGTTTATATTAAAACATTGCAATTTTCCTTAGAATTTCTGTATATATTAACATATCATGAATGCTAAATTCTCTTCAATGTGCATGTCAGGTTTATGTACTTGTACATCACATCTGTGTGTATGAAGTGTATGTTTATTGTAATATAAGACATTTAAGAAGCTGATCTGGAAAGTTGGATTTACTAGTTCCTAATTCCCAGAGGCTTTTTTAAAGGAAGGGAATGTCTGTGGTTCACCAGTTGTCAGCTGGGTGGTTACTGGATCATCTTTCTTTTATCAACAAGATAAACTATCAACTTCACCAGCATCATGAACCTTGTTGCAGTAAAAATGAGTTCACTACTTCTGTTCACTTTGAGTCTCTTCAAATGGATTCTGTGTCCTCTTCTGGAGCCTGTGCTGCATTTATTGCTTCTGACCCTACCACTAAGCCAGAGAATGATGATGGAGGAAATTATGAAATGTTCACACAAAAATTTGTTTTTCGACCTGAACTGTTTGATGTCACCAAACCTTATATAACTCCAGCTGTTCACAAAGAATGCCAGCAAAGTAATGAAAAGGAAGATCTGATGAATGGTGTTAAAAAAGAAATCTCCATTTCTATTATT